ACTGGCAAAAGCCGTATGACAATTTGGCCCAATGAAAAATCTAATTGAATACCCCTGCTCTAGAGGATCTCTTAGACTGATCGTTTTTTTATTGAAGGACTCCTTTCTAGTTATGGGGCTGTCTGAGGACTATCTGTTTGTATTATTTTTCTGTAGTTAAACAGTAAAGGTTGTGAGGTTGTGAGGTTTGCTGGTTTTCTGCATGTCTGCTCAGAATACCCTTGCGACAATCTTGGTTCACATGAGATGAGAGCTGTATACACTCTCCCGAGACGTCTGATCCAGGCATGTGCTGCTCTGAGTCTTTCCCAGGGGATATAACCCACACAAAGGTATGCTGCATGGCCCATGACCAGTAACACACGCTCATTCTCTGACTGAGACCTACTTGTCATTAGCAAAACTATCCAGGTGTAAAGTTGTCTCCCATGTGTTCACCCTTGTGTCAAGCCAGAGTTAACTATGATGTACACGTTTGACTGGCATACTATCACCTCTACATGCCCTGCAGCTTTAAATCAGTGAGAACAACACCTTAAAATCGCGGGAAAGTTAAGATGATTCCAAGAACCCCTGAGTGATAGGGGTCCTAAAATATTTATAACATAATTGGATTGGTCTGGGCTGGGGAACGACGTGATTGGCTTTCATTGGGTCCAAAATTTTTAGCAGCACCCTTGCCTGTAATAAAAGAGAATAGTTTAATATGTGAACAACAGAATTCTTGTACCCTCCAACAGAGCCTCTTTACTGGTGGCAATACTGCACCACCTCCTCTTTACACTGCAGATCACAAGAAGTGCCTCACAGTCCTTGGCTAGCCCATAGTTTTATCTTTGCAGGTGTTTTATGTAGAGACTCCCCAATGTATCCAGGGTCAGATTACTAACCGTTGCCCCTGGCCCTGACTCATCTTATAATAGAGGAGAACCAATCATTGACAGGTGTGGAACAGTACAGGGCTCACTCTCTCACACTGTGACATCATCATTAACCATGTTGTGGGTTGGAGATGGATGCAAAAAAAAAAACCACTGCCTGTGGTTTTAGTTTGGCCATCACTACTCCTCTCAGATGACAAGAAGATTTTAACTGTACAACAGGCCTGAGTTCTTGGCCAGGCCCGCATATTCCTCTTGATCCACACCACTTGGTCTCCGGTTCCACTGAAATAGTCATGAGCAGCTGTTCTCATTGGAAAGCTGAGAAAGAACAACTAACATTGGAACCAATTCCAGACATCAAATACTCTTGGAGTGCAAGGGGGTATTTAATGTCTGGAATTTGTTTCTGGGATTTAACTTGATAACAGCACAAGCTACTGTTTGAAAGATTAATTAGCCTTTGATTAGTGCAGTCTAGGTCACTCAATCACAGTCCCTTTGTAAATAGTACCTTGCCATCAGACTCAAGGGAATTCCTACTTCATGTCTTCTTCTGAAGTATTTTTGGGCAATTTATTATCATATAGAGGCCATATCTGGGTCAAGAACGTCCAACTTACGGACAAGTTTTACTTACGAATGGACTGCCATGAAGCCTGTTATATTAAAAGTGTGGGGTAAATGTCATGGTATGTAATAATAAACTACTTTTTGATGCCCGTGAAAACATTGTGCGCCTTCAGTGGTTCATCGGCTCGAGGTACAGAACAGTACTGTATGTAGTCACTTTTATTATTACTGTATAATTATTATTATGTACAGTATTATTATTGTTCCGACTTACCTACACATGTGAGGGACAGGATCTCATTTGTAACCTGGGGACTGCCTGAACTGCAGAGGCATAACATTGAAGCTCATAACTCAATGGCAAGTAAAATGAGCAAATCACTCACTGGAAAGTGCTATTTAGCAAATGCATGTGCCTTGGCAGCCGGTCAAAGACAGTGATGTTTTTAGCAGTTATCTTCATAAAGCCACATCAACTTGGCTTTATTAGGAGCAGAGCTGAATTATCTATCATCTATCTTGTCTTGTGCAACTGATTCTAAATCTACAGATGAAAAACAGAAAACCTGGACGTGCTGAGATCAAACAGCACTATCAGTCCATTTTGCAACAATGCAACAGTACAGTACCTTTAGTTCCTCTGTCTAAGATGTTCCAGAGATGATGATTCAAGATTTCATGAAGCACCTGAAGCAATTCTAGTCTATTTACAGTCAGAATGAGAGATGTTATGTTCATGTAAAGTAAATAGGATTTACTGTAGATATCTTGGACTTGCCCCAGCTGCTAAAATGTAGTAGATGGAGAGAAAGTCAGTGATGGAGACAGAAGCATCTTCTGACTGACTAACATTTATGAATGTGACTGATGTAAGAACTATTTACAGCAGTAACTTTGAAAAGAAACAGTTTTTTTTTCTTAAATTGAAAAGAAAAACTCATCTAATCTGAAATCCTTTCGTCAGCACTGTAGCTAAATGTCAGATGAACCACGCTTCATGAGAGATCCAGCAGGCAAATGCTAATAACAATGATGATGATGTTTTTTTTTCGTCTGCTAAAAACGAAAGCAGACCATCTGTCAGCAATAGGAAAAAATAATAATAATAACAATGGTGCCACTCAGGAAAACATCGCATGAGGAAACATACAAGTAGAGTAATTTGCGTTTTAATACTGGGTGTAATTGTTTGTACTATTGTGAGGGTGTCCAGCCTGCTCCTCACCCTTTGGCTGAGTGTAATAAAGAGGGAATGTGGCTGCATTTCGGGGATTTCAGCACTCTGGCACGCTCTCTCTCTGAGTCATGGTTGCTCAGAAGCCGTCCAGCCCTGGGCTAGATTTCCTGAGAATTGAGGACTCTGCCAGAGTCGATCCTGGCACAGGAATGCGTGAGAGAGAGAGCTTGAGGGGGCAGAGTGCTCTCACAAAGCCTGCTGTTTCTTTATCAATTGCGGGATTAAGTTAGAGTGGATTAGTTATTGTGGAAATACAGCTTCAGTACAACAGGTTTTTTTTCCCCCCCCAAAATAACTGTCTTTGTCAGGCAGACCGACTGGGACTAAATGCGATGGCTGCACTTAATACATTTTCTGTTTGTCATTAACTTACATGGGTGTGCCAGTGAGATGGCCACTGATATCAACAGAGGGCAACTAATGTGCTGTCATGTGACGACCATCTTCTCTACCCGTCGCCGTCACATTCAAAGTGCCCCCACTGCAAATCTACACCCACCGTTGTCATTCAACAGCTGAAGTCCTGAAAAGTCTGGCCCAACACAGCAGAGTGAAAAGCTGGACAGCTGGACTATATTACAGGAAATTCTGCAGTGGCTGTAAGCCAATAGTCTCTCTCATGGGATCCATGTCACAAAAGCATTACATAATGCTCAGTACAACATGCCTGCAACAAATAGCCCAGACAAAAAACCCTGCCACCCTGTTTGCACTGCACAGTGGAAAGGACACTGCATCTGAGCAGCTTAACAGCACAAGCCCTAATAAAAGGGAACACTGTTTCCTGTCCCCTCTCCTCTTGTTTTCCCTACTTTCAGGCAATTTTTTTCCTGTTACACATATTTAGGTCTCATTGCGTAGACTAAACTACCACCTGAGCATATAAAGCGTGATGCATGAATCATACACGCTGTCAGAGTAGTGCAGTCAATACCAAGACCATACAGCCTCTTTCAGTCAACGCCTAAGATCATTCAAGCAGATCTAAGCTGCTTGTTTTCATATCCTACTACGTGATAGGACTTGGACAGGTGCAGTACTGTTCCTGCCAACATTCATTTTTGTCCTTCCCATGTCAAAACAGATTTGCAGAATTTACTTTTACCAGCGTCTGTGACAGTGCTTGCTGGGACCTGAATGCTGCCCACCAAACTCCTTGTCCACTCCCAAAGGTAATTTTCCAGGGGTCCAGGGACAAGTGACCAACTGCTGATCCCAAAAAAACATTCCAATGCCCCAAAGACAAAACATGACCATGTGGAGTCAGAGAATTTGTAACAACCGGCCTTTCAAGAATCAATTTCCACAGACAGGGTTGCCAACTTCGGTCAGCTGGCTGGTATGAGATTTTCAATTCAAGGCAAGTCTGCACACGCATTTACATGTATGTAAGAGTTTAATTACTTCGTAAATAGTCTGTAGGATTTGCAAACTGCACAACACTTTAGATGTAGCTAATTTTAGGTTTATAATGGAATAATATAGATTTGCCATAAGATTTCATGCATGAGCGCGAGTCTGAAAGCAGATGAGTGAAAGTAGGCCACCCTGCACAGACCATCATAGCCCAAAAATACCTAACTGTTAATACTGAAATGAAATCAATTCTCTTTATTTTGCATTAAGGCCAGGTTGAAGCTCTGAGTCTCCTCAGGGCTGAGGAACATTATTAAATTATAACAACCAAAGAAATTTCAAGAATACTCTGGCCTTCTGGAATATGTGGGAAGCAGCGACTACCGTAAGACCTCAGCCAGGCACCTTCTGCCAGCTAACATTATTTTAACTCAAACCTCCGATGTGAAATCGGCATCTGTACATGTAAAATGCTCCTTAAGAGTTTGTCTTCCAATAGAGAAAGCTGTGTCACAGATGATACTGGACCCATTTTTGCAGCATAGGACTTTTGAAGACCGCTCCCCTGGCCCCCAGCAGCTCTATCTGGGGGGCACTGTTAACCCTTACGCCTAAAAGTGGGGTTTAGAGAGGCAAAGCTCTCAGGTCTGTTTCGCTGGAAACTCAGAAGCTAAAGCATTTTATTTTCATACACAGTATGCACTATGGATTTGATTTGTTTTTATTTTTTTAACAGGACGGTAACCCACTTCCAGAGCCCCAAATGTAAACCATTCTATGTAGGTAAGCCCTGCAGATTAATTTTATTCTTTAACTTGGTAAAACTTGCATGGATCCCATTGATGATGCTGTTCTTTGTTTTGCTGCTTGGCCCATAACACATCAGAGTTCCCACATTTTACCTACAAAAAGTTAATCAAGACAGTCAAGACAACATGCATATGTTTACTTACATGACAGATGCTTGTTGTGACCAGTGGACCCTGATGAAGACATGACTGTGTCCTGGTCAGTGCACTGGAGGTGTGAGCAAAATGAGGAGTGATCTGCACTGGGTATCCGTTTGCATATACTTCTGTGTGCTTGTTGGGGGGGGGGTCCATTAATCTTTCACTTGCAATTCATCCTTGTGTCATTCCCTGAGCTGAAGACATGTGAAAGTCTTGGACGGAGGCTGGAAATAGTTAACTCTCCTTTTACTCTTACTTCCACAGGCACACACACACACACAGACTGAGCCAAAACTCACCCACTGCCTCCCTACTGAACCTGCACTGTATTTAGCAGCTGAGGACAGAGGCGCTGGGTTATGGCTTTGTGGCCTGTACCAAATGGACATTTTCAGGGGGAGGAGAATGGGGAGAATGGAGAGAGGGGGCAGTGAATGTTAATGGAGATTTTATGTAATGAACTGGAAGATACCAAGGCTGCACAAGCCGTTTTAAAAATTCTTTCAAGAGCCCAAATCTGAGCGCAATATGCAGTTTGATGTAGAGCCTGGCTCTTCACATCACAAAGGCCCCCATTATCCCACTTTAATCAAATTACTGGGGCTATTTTAAACATGCCCTTTAGACATTAGACACTGCCCAGTCAGCTCATATCTGCCTTTTCATTTAATTTCATTCAATTTAAATTAGTAAGTTATTATACTCACTGCACCGCTAATAATATTGGTGTTGAGATTACAAAACGATACACCACATTGTTTCTAGCTACTTGAAAAACCTCAAATTTAGCATAAAAACAATTACAGTTACTCTGTAGGATCTCAAATTAGATTTCAGACGACATCAAGTCCCAGAGAGAGTTTGAGCTTTGCTCTGTAAATTATATAACATTCGGGACAAAGCAGGAAAGAGCCATTCCGCCTGACAGACCGGCTGAAAAATAATTACAATTCTTAGCATCCCTCATGACCAGTTGATAACACCACTGCAGGTGGAATCTCCAGACACAGTGCATATAGAAAGACTGCACTTTAGGGCCCGGTGCATGAGGAAGTGGTTTTGGCATCAAAGGCGGCAAGTTAAGATGTTCTCAATTGCCTTATCTCATTGCCTCATCTACAGCCATTTTGTTCAGCAGCGGTTCATAAAAATGTTAGAAAAGAGCAAACTGTTACCGCAAAAGGTCACATGACCTATGATGAGGTCTAAGTTTCTGATGTCTAAGTGACTGTCTCTTTTGGATGTGACAACCTGGGCAGGGAGGGGGTGGGGTGACTGTGGTCAAAGGGGGTTTCGCGTATTACTATGCTTACATCGTTTCATGCTGGACACATTCTCAGAACCTGCTCCCCCACAGACAGAGAGCACCCCACCCACCCAAATGTTAGTCATTCAGTGATCTGGAGGGGAGTGTGTGACTGTGCCGGCCCTAATCTCTTCTTCAGCATTACGATGCACCAGTGACTCACTCCCATCACATTTCTTCTATCTGCTCCTGATTAATTGCATTAATTGCACCTTCCTGGGTCACTGCTAACAGATAACAGAGCACTTACCAGAAGCCTGGAAGTTCTATCATGTCTGGCTTTTTAACAAAGAACGAGTAATTAAATTGATTTACTTTAGCATCCTGATGTAAGAGAGGAGAAGACAATGAACATTAGGGACAGAGAGGTATAGAGAGAGAGAGAGAGAGAGAGAGAGAGCATTCAAAGTTAACCTGACATTCATACCACCCCACCAACACTATATGTCATCTCTAATCCTCTAGACTTGCATTTTGTTTGCTTGTGTGATTTGGTTGGAAGCAACCCCAGAGAATACTGTACACCCAGACTCGGCCCCCTGGCACGAACTTGCACCCGCGCGCACGCACATCGTAGGCACGCTTCTGTTTGGTGCCGGCATCTGCTGTGTTTTGCCGCGCGAGCTCGTGCGCCGTGCGGAGGCTCTCCCTGAGGTGGCCCAGATAGCCCAAACCTGCTTCCCCTGTTACCTCTGGCTCAGGAGGGGAACCAAACACCAGCTCCATGGGCGCCCCCACGCGGTAAACCTGGAGCGGTGTGCGTGCCTGCTGTGTCGGCCCCTTTTTGGCTGTGCACCGATCGCATCGGTGCATGAACATCGTTACGTCCTCGTGCGCGCCCGGCCAATAGAACCGTTCACGCAGCCGCCCCAACGTCTTCGCGCTCCCAAAGTGTCCCGTGCCAATAGCTCCGTGGACGAGGCCTACAATGCTCAGTCTTAGTGCCCTCGGCACGACCGCTTGCCACAGCACGATTCTACCGTCCCCACGCACCCAATGACGATAAAGCACTCCTTCCCCGCACCACCAGGTTTTCGCTTTTAACTCGGGCCCCACCTCCGTGATGTCTGCCCACGCCGGCCACCGTCCCGTCTGTACCCAACCCATGCCCCAAGAACGTAACCCTACGCCGGAATAAGTGGCACTTGCCCGGATGTAATTTGAGCTTTGCTCGTCGCAGCGCACCGAATACTTCCTTCAGATTGGCGAGCGCGGTCTCAAACGTTTTCGCGTGTACCAGCAGGTCGTCCAGGTACACCACGCACCGAGACACCGGGACGTCTGCCAGTACCCTCTCCATTAGCCGCTCAAAGGTGGCCGGGGCGTTACAGAGACCGAACGGCATGGTCGTGAACTGCCAGAGCCCCTGACCGATCGAGAAAGCGGTTTTGGGCCGCGCGTCCGGCGCTAGCCCCACCTGCCAGTATCCGTTCCTCAAGTCCAGCGAGCTGAACCACGAGGAGCCGGACACGCGGTCCAATGTCTCATCGATGTGGGGCAGGGGGTACGAGTCCTTGCGTGTCACCGAGTTCAACCGGCGGTAGTCTATGCAAAATCTCCACGAGCCGTCTTTCTTTGTGACTAACACGACCGGTGCGGACCACGGCCCGCTCGCCAGCTCAATCACACCTGCGTGCGCCATCTCCTGAATTTTCTCCTCGGCGGCCTCGTGCTTCGCTAGAGGTAGCCGGCGTGGGTGCTCCCGGATGGGGGCGGCGTCCCCCGTGTAAATGGTGTGCTGCACCAGGTCGGTCCGCGTGCATTCGAGTTCGTTCACGGCAAAAATATCCCCGAACTCCGCCAATAGCTCGCGCAACGCATCTGTGTGCGCGGGCTCCAGGTTCTCACTACTGCGAACCAGCAGCTCTGCCATCGCGTGCTCCCCCCCGGTACGCATGGCTACTCCGGGTGCGCTAGTGATCTTGGTCTCGCTCGCCCCCCCCCCTGCACACCGTCGCTACCGGCAACCCGTTCCCCAGCTTGTCACGTCCTTTCGCCAACGCCACCCATTTTCGTCCCACCTTCATTCTATTTCCCCTGACATGGATCACTGCATTGAGGCGGTCCAAAAGGTCCATCCCTACAATACAGTGGTCCCGGATGTCACAGACTAAAAATGAGTGCGAAAGGGAAGACTCGACCGATTTCCACTTTAACGCGCCGTACCCCCAGAACGCGTAAGCACTCACCTGTTACCGATGTTACCGCCTGTGCACAACTTGGAGCCACCTCAGTGCCCCCGGCGTCCCCCTCCATGAGCCAGCCCGCCCTACACAGTGAGACTGTGGACCCGGTGTCTAGGAGGGCATGACTCACTACACCTCCAAAGACCCCCTTGACATACAGGCCTGCTCGTCCTAGCCGCATGCTGAACTCCGTCGTGTGGGGAGCTCTCACTGGTCTCGGCACTGTGACTCCCGTCTCGGCGCCGCTTCCCCGTTTAAACGTGTCCGGTTTTGAGTACGCTGTCCAGGCTCGATAGCATCACAGTCACGGATCAAGTGGCCTGCGTTCCCGCAGCCGAAGCAGCGGCGGCTCAGCCACGGGTTGCGTCGCTCCCCCGCCGGCTCCGGAGGCTCCGCGTCGCTGTTGGCTGAAGTGGCGCGGTCGCCTAGCACACCCTCTGCTCGTAACGCGACGTCCAGCGCCTCTTGCCAGGTGCATGGCTCCGCCAGCCTGACGTGATCACAAAGTCGCCGTGGCGTCAGTCCACGGAGGAAGGCCAGCCGTGCCAGGTCGTCCTGGATAACCGCTGGGAAGTTGGAGTAGCCGTGCCTCGCCAGCCCCCGTAGATTACTTGCAAAAGCGCCGAGCGTCTCACCGTTTGTACGTGTGGCTAAACTTAGTGCGGTGCAGGCCTCTTCCTCGCTGTTCGCTCGGCCGAACCTCCGCTGCAGCGCCCCCTGTAGGCTCCTCCAAGACGTGCGCTCCGCCGGAAGCAGATCGTCCAGGACCAGGAGTGCATCTCTTTCGAGCGCGAGGGCGGCTCGTACCGCCGTTTCCTGCGACGACCACCCGCACAGCCCCGCTGCCATTTCCACCTGCGTAATGAACGCATCCGGTGGCCCACCGCCAGAATACGCGGGTAGGTTTGGGCCTGCCGCTGCCCCGGCTCTTCGCGTTGTTCCGCCGCCGTCAGCCCATTTGCTGCGGCTCACGCCGTGCGCAGTCGGCTCCTCCTCTTCAAGGCACCGCCCTCGGCGTCCTGCCGAAGCGCCACCCGCCCCGTGCTCGCCGGCGCCGGAGCGTCTGGAATTGCTGCAGCCCGAGCCCTTCGAAGCCCCGCCCACAGCGTTCCCTCGCCGGCGCAGTGTCGCCCACTCTGCAGTTACCATCGCAGGAGTGCACCGCCCGTTCGCCATACCCCGGGACTTGCTTCCTCGTTCAGCGTCCACCGCTTTGTCCCTCAGCCCAGGCTCGCTGCAGTGCCTCTTCCTGGTGGGCGATCAGCTGTTCAATGTCATCCATCACTCAAGGGTCCATTCCGAATCCCACTTCTGACACTAAATGTAGTGAACTTTGGGGGAGACCACGTCCACTACAGAAAGGAAGGCTCAACACAAGGAGTTCAAGTGCAATTTGGAACACGTCCAACCCTTTATTTACCAGCCTTGAACAAGGCTAAAGGAACCTGTGCGCCCTCTTGCGTTCGGAGGTTGCACTGCACTGATTCACCTCATAAGTCCGCCCCCTTCTCTCCCTATGCCGAGTGAGCCGCGCTCACCGTCATTAGCCAGGCTCCGCTTCGCGAGGACGGTGGGCGCGGCTTCCCCGGCAGGCAGCCTCAAAGGTGCCAGCACCCATTACAATAACACACAATGAACCCATGCCCTTCCACCAGCACAACATAGCACGATACCGGAACAATATAGCGCTAACCCGCTCCCAAACCATGAACTCCCATAATGCCCCGTGCGGCCAGCATGGAAGTAGCCAATGAGGAGGCAGCCTCAACCCCACAGTCACTACAATACTTTTTAAATACAAGTTCCATCCATCCAAATATCCATTCAAGTATCCACGCATCTCATAATTGCTTTTTCTGATCGGCATTGCTGGGAAATGAAACACTGTTGCGCCAATTTTAGAATCAGTGTCATTATGCAAGTTTGTACTGTCAAAATGTAAATTATAAACACAAGAGATGCATTGTGGTAATGTATATATCAATAGCTTCCAG